GTCCCTCTGGATGCCATCCCTTCCCTCCAGTGTGTCGACCGCACCACACAGCTTGGTGTCGTCGGCAAACTTGCTGAGGGTGCACTCAATGCAGTCATCCATGTCACTGAGGAAGATGTTAAACAGCACAGGTCCCAAATCCAACCCCTGAGGAATGCCACTCGTCACCGATCTCCACTCGGACATCGAGCCATTGACCACCACTCTCTGAGTGCGGCCATCCAGCCAGTTCTTTATCCACCGAGCGGTCCATCCATCAAATCCCTGTCTCTCCAGTTTAGAGACAAGGATGTCACGCGGGACAGTGTCAAAGACTTTGCACAAGTCCAGGTAGATGAGATCAGTTGCCCGTCCTTTATCCACCAAGGTCATGACCCCATCATAGAAGCCACCATATTCATCAGGCACAATCTGCCCTTGGTGAAGCCATGTTGGCTGTCACCAATCACCTACTCGTTTTCCATGTGCCATGGCATTGTTTCCAGGAGGATCCGCTCAATGAACGTGCCGGGCACAGAGGTGACACTGACTGGCCTGTAGTTCTTCAGATCCTTCTTTTTTCCCTTTTTAAAGATGGGTGTTATGTTTCCCCTTTTCCAGTCAGTGGGAACTTCACTACTCTCACATGACTTCTCGGATATGATGGATGGAGGTTTTGCAACCTCATCTGCCAGTTCTGGGACCTGCAGATGGGTCCTATTCCATCAGGTCCCATGGACTTGTGCACCTTCAGGTTCCTCAGGTGGTCCCTGACCTGATCCTCTCTAACCATGGGCAGCTCTCCATTCTCCCAGTCCCTGCCCTTGCCTTCTGCGACTCCGGGGGTCTGGCTTGTGCCCTTGCCAGCAAAGACCGAGGCAAAAAAAAAAAAAATCATTGAACACCTCAGCCTTCTCCATATCCCAGGAAACCAGCTCTCCTGTGGGCCCTCTGCGGCAGGAAACATTCTCCCTGATCTTCCTTTTATCCCCTGTGTACCTACAGAATCCCTTCTTGTTGCCCACAGTGTCCCTGGCCAGGTTTCATTCTGTCAGAGCTTTGGCTTTCCTAACCTGATCCCTGACTTCTCAGACACCTTCCCTGTAATCCTCCCATGCTCCCTGTCCCTGCTTCCACCCACCACAGGCTTCCTTTTTGTGCCTCAGTTTCTCCAGGAGCTGCTTGTTCATCCATGCAGGCCTCCTGGTGTTTTTACTCGACTTCCTCTTTATTGGGATGCACAGCTCCTGAGCTTTTTGGAGAAGGTCCTTGCATACTCGCCAGCTTTCTTGGGCCCCTCTTCCCTCCAGGGTTTTATCCCATGGAACTCTGCCAATCAGTTCCCTGAAGAGGCTAAAGTCTGCTCTCCATTCCACTATACCTTTCACCTCTTTCTGCTGCTCACACTAAAGCTTCCGTTCTCCTATTCAAATCCACTTAGGAAGTGCTTTTCCTGCATCTTTCAACAACCACAAGTCCATCTATATTTTTCTGCAGAAAGCAAGTCACTGTGCAGTACTTTTCTGGACACCCTACACAGCTCTGCCAGTGTCCCTAAGGCACTTACAGGTTCAGAAAAATCCCACTATTTCAATTTCATACCCACCCCCCCATATTCTCTTGACCAAGCCACTCAGTTTCTCTTTTTGCAAGGACATGAGCTACTATGCTGTCCTCCTTACAAGGGGAACAAGCATGGAGATCCTTAGGTCAAAGACAGCAAAGCCCTCAGGACACATCATGACTCACAATGCACTGCTGGCACTAGATTGAACACTGATTCCCTGAAGCAGGCCTCAGTCCTCTCTACTCACCTACTAGTGTCCCACAGACTGTTTGATCTATGCTAGTGTTTACCTGCACCGCTCACATTACTGGATTTCAGCACAGGTGGTGGCGTGACGTGGTTGGCAATGGCTGTGGAAGACGGGGGAGGTATAGGAGGGACTGCAATTTTGCCTCCTGGTGGGGGTGGCAGCAGGTTTAGGGCCCCTGATCCAGACACACGGGGCTTAGCTGCTCCTCCTTTCTTTGTCGTCATATTCTGTATAAGAAGAAGAGACAAGTGAGGAAGAGCCTTCATTGGTATATCCATAGATAGAAGCAGGGCAAACTCAGCTCCTTACCCCAATGTTCAGTTTGATAGTCTGTCCTTCCTTAAACCCTAAGTCTAATTTGGGACGTGTGTCAGGTTCCTGGGACTCCTTGGAGATCTCAGTTTCCTGCTTCACCCACCTAAAAAGACGACAAGAAGACGTAAGACCCTGTGGCAAAGGGGGACAGGGTTTGACGAACACATGGTTCATCTCCCCAGCCGGCCAAAGAACCACCTTGCCTTGTCAAACCAGCTACCTCCTACTTCCAGTGTAATACTGCAAAAAGCTGGGACCACCACAAACCCAAAAGACTAGCACCACACCAGCAGCATCACAGGACCTAAGTTTAAGACTTACAGATCTGACTCCGCAGGGCTATCAGCTTGCATGACAGTGCGAAGCAGACTCAAGCGTCCCTGATGGAGTGAGAGCACGGCTTCGCAACCATCCCAAGGAAACCTGTGCTAAATGAACATGCACCACCACCCGCCACGTTCTACAGGCCAGAGAAAAAACAGCATTGCAGAAAAGCGCAACTCACTTGAAGTGATCCTGCAGAGAGACGTTGAAATCAAAGGCATCACCACGATCCGTGAAGCCAATCCCTATAAAAGCACTTCGTCCTAGCAAGGAGACGGGAGGAGTTATTGGAGTTGCCTGCAAATGGGCCCTTGTGTTCATTCAATCCAAAATCCTTCTGATTCTCCTAAACCACTCTATGCCACCTCCCTCTGACACACCCGCAGCTGGACACCAGCAGCTCGCAGCAGTTCATTGTTCCTAGCCTTCAGGATGCACCTTTCTTCCCATGGGGCACTCCCAGAAACTGAATGTTCCTTCCCAGACCCTGAACTTTGTGCAGTGCAGAGAATCCTCCTCTGTTGATCCTGCCTTCCTACCTCCCCAGGCACACTACCAAGCCTTTTCAGCACTCCCAACACCATTTCAATCCACCTGGCATATACTCAACTCCATCAGGCTAAGTCTTCTCCACCCCTAACACTTGGCACATACATGACCCCTCAACTCACCAGTCCCATCCTGAATTCGAATGACAAAATAGCGGCTGGAATCCGTCACAGTCTCCACGGCAATGCCAGGGTATTGATCTATAGGAGCCTGGGCAAAGAGCTCTCCTGTAGACAAAGAACTGGGTGTTAAGGAGAGCAACCTCATGCATGGCCAGGGTTGCTACACACAGCTCTGAGCAGGCTTAGAAGCACAGGCTCATACGCAGCAATCACAGTCACAGTCTTGCCAAGCCACGGCCTTTCCCTTACCTGAAACCTTATCCTCCAGTTTTATGTAGGCAGTTTTGCCTTTGGAGGTGACACGAAGCCGCCCAGTCCAGTCCGGATGGTCTAGTTTCCAGTCAGATGCCCTGGAAAGAAAAGCACGGCTCACTGACCATACATCAACCCCTCCACTTCCGCCCAACCCTCTCGGCAAAAGCGTCTGCTCCCAAACCTTCAGCACGTGCAGCTGCCCCATTGCGCTTCTCACCCCAAGCAATATATGAGGCCTCGGCTCCTCTCTGCTGCTGCCAATCAACACACGTGGCTCTCTCTTTCCTCTGGGTAAAGGGAAATAAACACACTCCAGAGAACACCAACTCTGTCTTTACCTTTATAAGCTTGCAGAAGAGAGGAGACTGAAACTTAGAAACTCACTTGGAACAGTAAACCAAAATGCAGCTAATAAGCTACTTGTGAGCATCTGGAAGACCCCAAAAATTAATTAATAGGATGCTGAAAAGCTACTCCATTTTTCTACCCTGTTGATGTAAAACAGCATCAAGTACCTCTGAACCCAGAAGCAGCTCACCCACGCTAGGTAAAACATCATGCACACTACTGACTAGCCCACCAAAAACTATTTGTTACGGGCTGCTGTGAAAGGGGAAAAAAAAAAAGAAGAAAAAGAACAAACCCCACCTACGGGATTCTGCAACTGGAAACAAACACCTGCAGCCAGGCACAGCATCCATACGGCAGCTGGAGCTTGCCCAGTCCAGTGAATAGCACTGACACCCCTCAGTGCTTCGCAGCAGAAACCCACCCCTCCAGCAAGTCTGTGGGTGCAGCCTGAAGTCACACTCCCTTGGTTAATGAGGAAGATGGCATTTCAGACTGGGCTGAAATGGGCTTGTTCAGCCTGGAGA